GACCTCAGCCTCTTGCTCCCAGGGAATACATTTAACCTCACTCCACCCCCACGAACCCCCCTTCTACACAGAATCCCATCGCATCTTCTTCAGACCTCTTCAATTTCTTTCCAGTCCCCATTCACATATGCAAACTCTGTTGGGCTACAATGCGCATAATTTCTTTTCTTCCAGTTTTATTGAGACATAATTCACATACAGCACTGTATATGTTTAAGGTGTACAGCATAATGATTTCACTTATGTATATCGTAAGATGATTACCACGATAAGTTTAGTGAATACCCACCCTCGTATATAGATACAAAATAAAAGAAAAATTTTTCCTTGTGTGGAGAACTCAGGATTTATTCTCTTAACAACTTTCATATATATTATACAAGTGTTAATTATATTTATCATGTTGTACATTACATCCCTAGTACTTATTTATCTTATAACTGGAAGTTTGTACATTTTGACCACCTTCATCCAATTCCCCCTCTCCCCACCCTCCACTTCTGATAACCACAAATCTGATCTCTTTTTCTATGAGTTTGTTTGTTTGTTTGTTTGAAGTATAATTGACCTACAGCGCTATGTTAGTCCATGCTGCACACCACAGTGGTTCAATATCTCTACACATTACAAAGCGATCGCTACACGATGCACATAAATTTAATACAGGCTTGGTAAATAGGGGGGTTATGTCAGTATTATAATGTCAACATATCATGAGGTCACATCTAGTTATTACCAGTATGCCAGTAGTGAGAAACAGCAGCTGACCACAAAGCTCACTACAAGCCACAGGATACGGTGCTATGCGTGATGTGCCCATTCGCACCCAGCCCTTTGTCTTAGCTCGGTTTAGCCACGTGCAAAAGAAATAAGCCCAAGACTCAGCCAGAACCATCCCCCAGGGTCATCTCCGCAGCAGATGCCTCGTCAGCTGCGGATTCTGAATAAGGAAGAGAAAAAAGCTCCTGTGGAACGGCAGCAGCCAGCAGGGAGAATCCTGGTAGCAGTCCAGACCTAAATCAGAACGTATTTTTAATAAGACCCTCCAGTGAAGTATATGCTCATTTAAGTTAGAGAAGTGCTGCTCTGGGAGGGATGGGAATGGGGCTAGGGAGGGATTGTAATAGCACTAATAAATTACCTGAGATGTTTGACTACGGAGACTGTACTTAGAGACTGTTAAGGGCTGGGGAAAATCTGTGATGGGAATACAGAACACTAAACAAAGGAAATAAGGTGAATCATTTAACTCCCTCCCTCCCCCATCCCCCTCAAACACAAAAAGTTGTACAGGAAAGTAAATGTAATCATATGTGATCCTCAGCTCCATAAAAATATAGCCACAAAACCATGGTATTGGAAACACTGAACAAAAATGATATATTTCTATTGGTGATATAAAAGAATGGTATTAGTCAGAGTTCTCCAGAGAGACAGGACCAATAGGATATACAGTATACAGATATATAGAAAGAGATTTATTATGAGGGATAGGCTCACGTGATTATAGAGACAAAGAAATCCCACAATCTGCCCTCTGTAACCTGGAGGCCCAGGAAAACTGGTGGTGTAGTTCCAGTCCAAACTCGAAGAACTGTGAACCAGGGGAGCCAATGATGTAAGTCCAGGTCAGAGTCCAAATGCCAGAGAACAAGAAGTGCTAATGTCTGAGGGCAGGAGCTGGAAGTCCCAGCTCAAGCACAGAGCAAATTCGCCCTCCCTGCATCTTTTTATTCTATTCAGGCCCTCAAAGGATTGGATGATTCCCACCTGCATTGGTGAGGACGGTCTCTTCACTTACGGATTCAAATGCTTCTCTCTTCTGGAAACAGCCTCACAAACACACCCAGAAATGACCTTTTCCCAGTTACCTGGGTAGTCCTTAGCCCAGTCAAGTTGACATATAAACTCAGCCACCACAAGAACGAAATCATCACTGCTCATGATAGAGCATCGAAAAGTAATATCTAAAAATGGATTCATCAAGAAATAGCAACATAAATGTTACTCCTGAGACATATCTAGATAAATACCAGACAAAACAACAAAGCATTTGAAGAGGCTGTTCCTAGGGAATGAGGAAGGATAGGGTGGAAGTGGGAATAGTGCTTTTCTTAAAAGCTCTTTATACTTTTTTTTTTTTTTTTAATGCTTTGCATGGGCTTCCCTGGTGGCGCACTGGTTGAGAGTCCGCCTACCGATTCAGGGAACACAGGTAACGTGCCCCGGTCTGGGAAGATCCCACATGCCGCGGAGCGGCTGGGCCCGTGAGCCATGGCCGCTGAGCCTGCGCGTCCGGAGCCTGTGCTCCGCAACGGGAGAGGCCACAACAGTGAGAGGCCCGCGTACCGCAAAAAAAAAAAAAAAAATGCTTTGCATGAATTACTTTGACAGAATAAAAACTACTTCTTAAAAAAAAAGGAGTAAGTGGTTGCCTCGGTCAAATGCTGTTGGATGTCAAGTAAGATGAGGAAGAGAATAATCATTGGATCTGACTAATTTATAATATTAGGAAATTTGAATCGTGTGTGGTGAAAAGGGGAGTGTAGGGGGAGAAGGCCTGACATCTTGTCATCGGAGGAGCACATCACACTCCTCAGCCCAAATGGTTTCATGTCTAAGAGGAAACAGTTTATGTTTCTAGGGCCCCAGAATAACAGGAACTTGCTCATAGTAGCCCCACATCACAAAGGCACCTAAAAAACAATGGGAGCCATGAAAACTGGGGGCATCTAGAATGTCTGTTCCCTGATTGAGCCTGGACAATTCAGAGATCCTGCCACTGATTGTCCAAAACTGCTAGTTTCTGTCGAAATGACTCAGATATTATCCATCAGAACCTTGGCTGCCACATAATACCTTGAATACCATTTGCTCTCTATTTCCCCAGCTCCTTTCTTTCAGTCTAGCTCTCTTGGGTGCAAGTAAAAGCTCTTCCTCCTGCCCCAAATTTTCCTCTAAGATATTTTGACAATGTAGGGCAAGGGATAGAAGTCTAATCAGAATGTGTTGAGGAGAGGAAACTCATTATCGGTGATATTTTTGAAAGTTAAGCACAGATGGGAGCTGAGAATGAGGCAGGCACATTTCAAACTAGGAAAGCCAAGGACTGGTGGGTGTGATTGAAGCTGTAAATTCTACTTCGGTCTATGTGCTGATAAGAGGTCAGAGACCTCAAAGAGCTCAGTTTAGGAGGGGAAGAAAGACTTGGAAACAAAAGACAAAAATAAACATATCTGCATCACACAGTAGGATTCAGGTCAGATTTGTGCCAGCAAAGAGGGAACAGGAAGTTGTCCATGTCACAGGATAAACCTGGCCCATCTTCCTGGAGAGCTGATTTCACTTGGACGGGGCAAAGTCTAGCTAGAGTCATATTTTTTTTTTAATTTCATGCGTAATGCAGCAAAATGTTTAATTTACTTTAAACATTACAGATAAGACCAAAGACTTCAAAAGTGTTTCTCATGTGAGTTGGACAGACTGAGAGGCTCTGGGGAGAAGAGGCTGAGAGGAAGGAAAGAGGGAGGCCACTAGATCTTACAGCATTTTCTTGACCAGATTAAGGTGCCTGAACTGGGTGTTGGGGTCACTAAGGAGACATGTAGGGATTTTTAAGCAAAAAGTGACAAGATCAGGTTTGTATTTGAGAAAATTCACTCTCCTAGCGCTCAGGTGGGTCCACTGGAGGAATTATTTTTTGTTGGTCTTAATCATAGTCCCAATTAAAAGGCAAAGAACAAACGGGTGGTGAAGGGTTTTTGCCACACATATAATACAGGGTTGATGTCTTTAATTTCTAAAAAGTTCATACATTTTGATTAAAAAAGAAAAAAAAAAGCTCCAGAATCTATCTAGAAAAAAAAAAGGCAATTAGCTCAAAAAATTCACTTCCGGAATATATTAAAATATATAAACATGAAAAATGACCAGCCTCATTATATAAACACATGTGAAGTAATAATTTGGTCAATATCATCCATTCCATTAGTGATGATGAGAAATAATAGCCCTCAATGCTGGCAGGAATTAGGTGAGAAGGACATTTCAGTTGATGGTGTGATAGGCTTGACATTTCAGGAAGAAACTTTGACAATATGTTCATACCATTTGACCTGATGACAATATTTCTGGGAATTCATCAGAAAGTTTATCAGGAAACTATCAAAGATGCGGACAAAGACTTGTGTATAAAGCACACTATTTATAATAAGCAAAAAACTCAAGATGTCCCACAATCTTGGGAATTATAGGAAGCTTCAATATGATATTATGTAGCTATTAACAATGTTTCAAATTATATTTACAAAAGTATCAACAATTCTGCCAGAGGCTGTCATTATTTGCTGACATTATGAATGATTTCTACTTTCAAAAATATACATATTTTTAAATTTTCCATAACGATAAGGGGTCTAACCCAAAACAAGAAATTGCAGGCCTCATGAATTGCTTTTAGGTTAGTAGCTTTGGTAGAGAGACAACTTTGGGGCCCTGAAAACTGAAACACACAAATGTATTCCTAGCCTATCTTTAATTTCCAACTCACATAAATAATAATAGAATAACAACTTTCTCTCTTCTAAGTCCCTATTATATGCTAAGCACTTAACATGCTTAATCTCATTTAATCCTTGCAACACCACTCCAAAGAAGGTATTATTAACAATACTCCCATTTCAGAGATAAAAGAACTGAGGCTTGGAGAGGTGAATTAACGGCCCAAGGTTTTACATTTTCTTTTAGTGTTTTCTTGAATCCTCTTTCTTTTTTGCCCTGTCCCCTTCTGTTTAGCCCAGGTCATCAATGCATATCCTGATTTCTCAGCTGAAGACCACAAATCCACAGACCTTTTCCTCTCTAGAAAACTTTTTTTTTTCCCCAAAGTAAATACATCAGGGACCTGGGGGCAGGCTTTCCTGAGAGCACTTCCCCCTTCCTTCTCCTTTAACTTTTGCCCCTGGGGCCACAACCAACTTTCTCATTTGGTAGCAGAAGCTTGTTGGTGCCTTTTCCTCCAACATCAGAGGTCAGTATCTGGGATTACTCTCACCCCCTGAGAGAGCCAGCAGCCAGGAGGCATTTTCTCTCCCCCTGGCTCCTTCCTCCCTAGTCCTAGGCCCTCTACTCTTCAAGCCCTTTAGCTCTCTTCAGCTCCCCTTTCTTGTTCTATCTGCTCCCAATCTTTCTTCCTTTCTCCTCCAACTTACTCCCCTGGTCTCCATCTCTACCTCCATCACTGTATCTTTACTATCATTGCTAAAAGCAAATGCCAAATTATTGTATTTGAAAGAAGAGGTTTTTTAGGGCAGTGGTTCCAAGGTTTTTCTATTTATATGAAACCCATTAATGGGTACTATGCCTCACAATTCCCTTCTCCTAAGTCTCTCTTGGGGATTCAGGGCCCATTTTGTTGTTTTATACAGACAAGATTGACCAGACTTAGGGTGGTCGGTGAGAGCGTGCTGAGGGCCGCCTGGACTGAAAGTCTGCCCTGTGGGGGGAGGTAAGGAGGAAGCTTCAGGTGCAAATGACTCTTTCCAAGTTGGAAAGAAGTGCTGGGAGGACGCTGGGAGAACAGTGTCTCAACAACCCATAGCTATCTCCTATCCCTTCATCTGTCTCCTAGGTTGAAGCTCCTGACAAACTCGAGTCCACCAGCATCTTGCTGCCCACAAAGGTTGGAGATGGCAGTCTTCCCAAACTCCTGTCTCCCTGGGTGTCTGCTCGTCTTCATTCTCCTCCAGGTGCCCGAGCTGGATTCTGGTAGGTCTCCCCTCTCTCTCTCTCTCTCTCTCTCTCTCTCTCTCTCTCTCTCTCTGGCCTACAAGGTTGAAATTTCTCAGCAATTGTAAACAATCCCATTTGGTTCTCCTTAGCGACTTCCATAAGGGTCGAGATGGACTCCCTTGGGGTGTCGTAGGAATAAGAGAAATGGTGGGAGAGTCTCCGCCCTTCGGCGGGATCCTGGTCTGTATCAGTCCTCATCTCCCACCTCCACATTCTGTCTGACCCTCCTGGTTTTTTGGCAGCTCCCTTTGACGTGATTGGACCCCCGGAGCCCATCCCGGCGGTGGTGGGTGAAGATGCCGAGTTGCCCTGTCACCTCTCCCCCAACGTGAGCGCCGAGCGCATGGAGTTGCGGTGGTTCCGAGAGAAGGTCTCTCCCGCGGTGTTCGTGCGCCGCGAAGGGCGAGAGCAGCCCGGAGAGCAGATGCCCGAGTACTGGGGGAGAGTGACGCTGGTGGAGGACCGCATCGCGGAGGGGCGCGTCGCTGTGAGGATACAGGACGTCAAGGCCTCTGATGATGGGGAGTACCGATGCTTTTTCAGGCAGGACGAAAACTACGAAGAGGCCACCGTGCATCTGAAGGTGGCTGGTGAGTAGACCGGTTTTGACTTTCTCCGGTGACTCCATGAGGGATATATTTTCCTATGGATCTGTTACTTTGGAAGCCATCACATTCATTCCCCAAATCCCTTTTAGGTTGGAAGAGGTTGGCAGGCCTAGGGTAGGAGATGAGTAGGAAGGGGGTTTGAGTTGAGAGTGGAAAGGGAGCAGCGGAATTATCTTTCTGGGCGGAGCTTTATTTCAATGATGTCCTGCCTTTCTCTCTCAATTATAGCATAAGCATTTCCCCATGTTATTAATTAAATAAGTGTAAGATGCAATGACTGTATAACATTCTCTTCTATTAATAGACCATAATTTGCTTGATCAAAGCCCAGAATTAACCATTTCATTTGTGTCTATTTTTCACCATTACATTAAGGCTGTGGTGAGCAACCCCAATGCATACTTTGACGCCGCTTTATGGATTAGTACCCAAAGGCCAATTTCCTAAAATCATGGAGCGTGGCTGCTTGTTAAGGGTCTTGATCTACCTACAAAAGTTTTTGTTTTTGTTTCCTTTTTCCTTTCAAGCCAAATTTCAGAGTAAAACAACAAGGAAAATGGTAAACACTCAGGAGGAAAGTATACATTGAGGTCTGACTTTCCCACTTGGCATCAAACAAATCTCTTTCTGAGCTATATTTCCTACTGTAAAACTGGGAAAGCACCACCTCTCAAGCAAGGTTTTGCAGAAATGAAATAAAATGAGACAATATATGAGAAACTGCTTTGTCAATTCTAAAAGCATTATGTGCTTGTAAGATATTATTACTGTGCCTCGACTGCCCTACAATGTATAATATACAACTATACTGCTTTTCATGTATGTAGTCAAATAAAGTTTGAAAAATACGTGGGTGAAATCTGGGTCCCTGCCTCATAACAGAGTGCCCCACGTGGCAGCATCATATATAACTCATATTTCCTTTTTAGGGAAGTATCTTAAAGTTTGGTTATAAAGCCCTAGAGATTTGATAGCATAAAGCTGTCGTTGTTACCTTTTCTGAGTGATAAGACACCTTTGAGAATCTGCTAAGGGTGGTGGCCCTTTTCATGAAAAGAATACACATTTTCACGTACACGCACAACTTGGTATATGGATTTAAACCAATAGTTGTGGATATGTGTTTAAGAACTCTTCTCTGAAGCTTGCTGTTTTTCTGTACTTTGTGGAATTGTAAGAAAATAATTAGGCTGAACAGAAAGGAAAAACAGTTTCATGTTGATTTATGTCAACATAATAAACAGCTTCATGTTGATTTATGTCAATTTAATTGGGGGGTGGGGGTAGATGAGGTTGAAATCATTCAAGAAAATGCCTGAATCAGTATCACAGGTAAGTGAAACTTAAATTGTCTACTACAATCTCAGTGCAAAGAACATCCAATCCCCCTTCTCCTCAAGGATACTCCTTCTCTGTTTATCCTTACATTCTCAATCCTAGCCCTTTTCCTACCCAAAGCCTTCTCATGATACTTCCAACCACAGAGCTCTCTCCTGTCTCTGGAGCTCCCAGCCTTGATTCACTAACCCACCCCTAAGCCACTGGGCTTGCTGTTCCCGCTGACCGGACCCCTTGTCTGTCCACCAAACTCCTGCCCACAATTCCAACACTAAATCCCAACACAGCACCCCTCTCTGATAAGATGTATTCTTTTATTGATACCTCTGTTTCCTTGTGTAATAAAATATGGAGATGAGTCCCTCTCATCCCCAGTTCCCTTGGGTTTCTCTTTCTCAAACTATGTAGTCCTGTGGTTATAAGCCTCCCAGAAGGATGTCCGCTAAAGGAGTAAGTTGTCTCCTTTCTCCATAGCTCTGGGCTCTGATCCTCACATCCACATGGAAGTTCAAGAGAGTGGAGAGATCTGGCTGGAGTGTACCTCAGTGGGATGGTACCCAGAGCCCCGGGTACAGTGGCGAACTCCCAAGGGAGAGGAGTTTCCATCCGTGTCAGAGTCCAGGAACCCTGATGAAGAAGGTCTGTTCACCGTGGCAGCTTCAGTGATCATCAGGGACACCTCCATGAAGAATGTGTCCTGCTGTATCCGGAACCTCCTTCTCGGCCGAGAGAAGGAAGTAGAGATTTCTATACCAGGTCAGTGAAATCAGTGCTAGGTTCCTTTTTGACACAGCTTCAGGGCCACATCACATGGGACACCTGCCCGGCTGTAACCTCATGGCAGACTTGTCTATTTTCCTCACCTTAAGCTTTCCCCCACCTAAACTCTTGCCCACCAAGCCCCACCAGCCTCACTAGAAGAGTAGAGATTCTGAAGGCATAAATTTTACCTAGATCTCATACAAATTCCAGATTTTCTATCTTGGGAGATATATCTTGGTAGAGAAGCTTTGTCTCTGGAGGGGGGGGTCTTCTGGATCTAACTAAATTAGTTCTCCTGTTTCCTCCCTTGCCTTGCCTTCCTCCCCATTCCATGCTAGAGCTCTGGCTAAGTTTCCAGGGTCCTCAGGGAAGCAAATCTTCTTATTATTCCTTACACACTATCTCTGGTTCAGGCAGGAACTTTTCCTTATTCTTTGGTCATTGAGTCCCATTCTGTTGCACTCAGTGTGACACTTCCCCTTCCTTATTTACTTCCCTCAACCCCTTGGCTCCCATCCTGCATTGATAGCTAAGGAGAAATTTCCATGAAAACAGGAATTGGTCCATTATATTCTTTATCTCACAGGTCCTGTCCCCAAATGACTCTTGTTCATCTTCATTCCTCTCTTTATCTGCTCTCTGTTACCTAAGATCAAAATTTATCTGAAAAGCTCAGAGTGGCACTGGAGGGACTATTTTGCCATGGGAGGAATGTGAGAGGTCCAGGTCATCCTCTCTTCCACCCCCTTTTGGAGTCAGGAGAGGAGCTGGACTTGCTCTGAGCTTCTCAACAAATGTCCTTCTTGGGGATTTTGTTTTAGCTCCCTTCTTCCCAAGGCTGACTCCCTGGATGGTGGCTGTGGCTGTGGTCTTGATGGTCCTAGGACTTCTCACAATTGGGTCCATATTTTTCACTTGGAGACTATACAAGGAAAGATCCAGACAGAAGAGGCATGAATTCAGCTCTAAAGGTAAGTCATAGAATCCCAGTCTTCTTTTTGGGAATGCTTCCAAGTGGGGTTGGATCCAAGTCCTTTAGGATGACTGCCAATGGGAAGATAATTGATTCTAGAATTCTGAAAGTCAGAGGGGATTATAAGGCTCCTGAAGTCAGTGGCACCCAATATGAAGAATAACAGAGGTTTGGGGTACAAGACGAGTCAAAACCAGTTCTAACTGAGAGAACAGACCTGATGTTTATTCACTACTCACCTTCAGACTCTATCATTACTTTTAACTTGGTTTCCCAGTAACGACTGAAGATCTGATCCCAAGCCAGTAGGAACTTCCTGCATATTTCTTAGAAAACAAAACATAATCCCTGTTCTTCATTTATTGATAATGCTTCAACAATCAGGTAGTCATGAAGTAAACAGTTACTCCTTTGTGTGTTTCTTACACCTGTTTTGTCCCCTCCCTCATGCCCACTCTAGAAGGTCACTAAGGTATTTCTGTTTGTTTTCCAGAGAAACTCCTGGAAGAGCTCAGTAAGTTCTATCTTCTTCTAATTATTTCATCCACAAGGTTTTCTCTCTCTTATTATAAAACATGTCAATAACACGTTTTCCCCCTCCCCCATTGCAGAATGGAAAAAGGCTACACTGCATGCAGGTCAGTGACTCTAAATATCTCAAGGGCTCCGAGGATCTACCTTGCAGGAATTCAAAGTCCTACAGTACTTGGAAATAAAAACCACTAACATATTTTAGTGATGAGGATATAGAGGGGATAGATGATGGCAAATGGCCTCAACGTTTTCCTTGAGGCACACAGAGGGTCCTTGGAAGATGGCTAGAAGACAAGTCCCCGCTGACAGGGTCCCATGGGGCACTGGGGACAGTCAGTTCATACATCACCCTGTGGCTGTGGATGGAAGAGGGGACTAGAGACAGCTGAGCAGGCCAGGCAGCTCTCTTCCGGAGGAGACCTGTCAACTGCTAGAGCAGTGTCCCACTTCTTTGGAGAAGAAAGGATAGTTCTCTCAACCTTTAACATTCACTGATGTTCAGACTCACTTTCTGTCTGTCTCTAGTTGATGTGACTCTGGATCCAGATACCGCCCACCCCCACCTCTTTCTGTATGAAGATTCAAAATCTGTCCGACTGGAAGATTCACGTCAGAAACTGCCTGAGAAACCAGAGAGATTTGACTCCTGGCCTTGTGTGTTGGGTCGTGAGGCCTTCACCTCGGGGAGACATTACTGGGAGGTGGAGGTGGGAGACAGGACTGACTGGGCAATCGGGGTGTGTAGGGAGAACGTGATGAAGAAAGGATTTGACCCCATGACTCCCGAGAATGGGTTCTGGGCTGTGGAGTTGTATGGAAACGGGTACTGGGCTCTCACCCCCCTGCGGACCCCTCTCCCATTGGCGGGACCCCCCCGCCGAGTTGGGATCTTCCTGGACTGTGAGTCAGGAGACATCTGCTTCTACAACATGACTGATGGATCCCATATCTATACTTTCTCTAATGCCTCTTTCTCAGGCCCCCTCCGGCCCTTCTTCTGCCTGTGGTCCTGTGGTAAAAAGCCCCTGACCATCTGCCCAATCACTAATGGGCTTGAGGGAGTCACAGTAGTTGCTGATCCCAAGGACCTTTCTAAGGACATCCCACTCTCGCCCATAGGGCAGGACTCTGCCTCTGGGGATACAGACACCCTCCATTCTAAACTGATCCCTCCCCAGCCCAGCCAATGGGTACCTTAAGGAACACCCCAGCTCAACCGCTTCCTTTCACTCTTACCCCCTTCTCTATCACCCCCTGGGGCTTCATCTGCCAGCTGTACCCAGCCCCTGTTTCTTCCTGTTGGGTAGGGGTTAATTAATCTTGAGAAGGTTGTGTTGCTGCTGATAGAGTGTGGGGTGTAGGACCTTCCTAATCTGTTTCTGTTTCTGTTTCAATATTCAGGGGGCAGAGAAGGGACTCCAACTGCTTCTCGCGTTCTCCTGGCCCTTGAGGCCAAAGCCTATAGGAAGGCACTTGAAGCTCAGGGATCAAGATGGGCTTAGGCTGGCCTAGGGTTGTGACAGAAACATCTTGGTGTCCAGAATACGAATATGTACAGGAACAGGTTTTAGGCAAGCAGAAAACCCAAAGGATCCTGGGAAGGGAAGATCCGAGGCTGAAATCCCATAAGGGAACTTGCGGGGGAAGTCATGATAGAAGAAAGTGAGGTGAACCCAGGCCATTGATGGACATCTGGCCTGCCCCTAGAGTTTTAGGGCCTATATGTCAAATTTTTTAAGTCATATCCCCTGGGGTGGATCTGAGCAATTGGCAAGGAGAGTAAAGAAGAGATGAAATGAGCAGGGCTAAGGGATCAGACAGAACGTTTGATAGAGGGGAGAATTTTAGATAAAATTCAAAGGTTGTGTTCACAGCCATGCCTCGGCCCTGTTCCCCTCTCTGCACCCACGTTTCTCCCTTGCCTGGGGCTCATCTCAACCTCACTTTGTTGACTCCACAAGTCTCAGGTTCTCTTCTTCTTTTTGATCTAGAATCTCTCCATTTCAGAGGCATTTCCAGGCATCATCGTTCAGTAAGATCACCACTTTATCAGCCATTGTCTCAGCCTCAACCCAACATTTGGTTTAGACCCTCCACCATACCTTTAATTAGCTTCGGCCACCACCCACTTCCACACCGCACCACCAATCGCTCTCTCCCCACCCAGCTTTCCTACACGCTGCTTCTCCTCAGTGTTCCCTGAAGGCTGCATCATTGTGTCCAGCACAGCTGGATCGACCGCAGTTGTCTGTATTTGCATTTTCCTATATATGTGTGTCTTGTCTTCCCAATAGACTGCATATTTACCCAGGCTCCAACCTTCCATTTCCACTGGGTTTTCCAGTTTCCAGGATAGATGTCACCCATGGTCTTAACCTAATAAATAAGTCTGTCTGATTGCTGAAAACAGCATCTGCACCTTCCTTTCTTTATCCCAGCAAGTGGAACTGAAACAAAAACAGAGGAAAGAAACCTGCGTGGGAATGCAGTGAGCCAAAGCAGTGTGGTTCTGTTTATCCAAGACCCATCCCCAGACCTGATGGCAGTGGGCTCACCAGGGAAGGGGCTATTGTCCCAGGACTGTCCAGCTACTTGCAATAAGGCCACAGTGCCAATGGCTACCCGCCCTTAGCCTCTGGAGGAAATGTTTGGGAAATTTTAGTGGTGATGCCTCATAATTGGAAAAACAAACAAACTTGGGTGATCTTTAAACCACCGTTCCAGAGGAAAGGCCCTTTGGATTCCTACTCTGAAGGCCCTGATAGTTCAGTGAGATGCCCACTTTTTCCTATTTGCCCCAAGCGAGGATCAGGAATAGTCCCCCTCACAGAGGGTCTGACCTTAATGCAAATCAAGCAGTATACGGGCTTCCCTGGTGGCGCACTGGTTGAAAGTACGCCTACCTATGCAGGAAACACAAGTTCGTGCCCCTGTCCGGGAAGATCCCACATCCCGCAGAGCGGCTGGGCTCATGAGCCATGGCCGCTGAGCCTGCGCATCCGAGCCTGTGCTCCGCAACGGGAAAGGCTACAACAGTGAGAGGCCCACACACCGGAAAGAAAAAAAAAGTATTCATTTGTGTTCAAATTGTACTTTTAGAAAGTAAAAAAGTTCAAAAAACAAAGAAAGAAGTTCAAGAAACAAAGTCCGAAGTTCTTTAAAAATACTTGAGAACCTCAAGCAGTTGTTTTGCTAGTTTAATGTACAATGTGTACCCTGAAATGTATATGTAAAATCTCACTCCGAATAGATGGGACTGCCACAGGAACCCCTCTCTGAGAGTAGAAAGAGAACTCGTCATAGGTTTTAATTACTTCTGCGACTTCTCTCCCCTTCCTATTTCCTCATGATCTTCAAGGAAAATGGTTACCAAACACAGTACTGAGCTGGTAGTAGATTCTTAGGAAACATCTGTGTCCACCCCCCTCCCAGGTTTAGCCTCTTCACATGAGGCACTTATCTGATGAGCCCTGAGGCTTTCTTTCCAGCTGGCACCAGCTACCAGTGCCTGGAAGAAATGAACAGTCTTGGTCGTTCTGGCTTTATTTTCAAACCTTCCAAAAGAGAAGAAAGGTGGCCTTGCTGATGCTTTGCCAAAGCCCGTCTTAATCACCTGAAGCAGAATCGGTGATACTGTGATTTTAGAAGCACCAAAAAGGCGTCTCTTCCACCACTGCAAATAATTGTAGTATTTCCAAGGCCTGATTTTCTTTTTTAACCAGAAACAAAAACCTCTCACCCCACAGCTAAAGATCAGGCCCAAAACGCAAATGCTACTGAAATGATAGTGATAGACTTCATTTCACACACCAAATGCCAACTCTGGTCATCACATGTTTGAAAGGGCCTGCCTCTCTTTAACAGAGATTCTGTGAGATAGTTGAGCTCAGACATTCAAATTAAGAGAAAAATAACTGTACAACTTCTATCATCCCTTATCAACAACAACCGTTCCGCGCCATCTCTCTGCATATCCCAATTTATCTATCTGTCCCTTCTGCCTCCAGACCCACTCAGGTCTCCTCAAAATTCCTTCTCAAAACCTCTGAGTCCACTCCCAACTACATTCACATTTACTCTCATTTTAAAATTTAAAATGGAAATAGCCTTTTTCCTTGAATACATATGGAAGTTCATTTAAAAAAATAAAAATGATCAAAATGTCATCACTCAAATATAACCGATGTCAAAATTTGGGTTTATCCTCTCCTTAAAAAAAAAAAACAAAAAAACTATATCTCCATGGTTTAGTTCTAAGGACCTAAACTAAATTCTCTTTGAGGAGTGTTCCATACCAATTAGAAACTCTTTGTGGTACAGATCTGGTAGCTTTGCTGGACATAAACAGAGATTTAGGAAAGCCATAAGAATTAATGGAAGATAAAGCGATACACTTGTAGAAAGTGAAAGGCAGAACTGGTCTTAGTTTGAGGCCTCCTTTTGAGAACAGTATAACATCCATACAGAAAAGTCCACAAATCCTCAGTGTACAGCTAGATAACTCGGAACAAGAAGCAAGACACCCGGACACCCTTACACCGGTCCCCAGGGTAACCCCAGCGGGGAGATTTACAACAGAAAGGACAGGAGGGAGGAATGAGCGAGCGCCCGAGAGGGCTGGGCCTCGGCGAGCACCAAACTTGAATAAATAGCCTAAAACCTCCTGGGAGCAGGTGTCAATTTAAGTAAGGCAACTTCAGCAACGTGGGTGCCATTATTTGAACAAGAATTCTGTCGAGAATGGAGAAAAAGTTCCCTTACTCTTAGGTACCCAGGCCCGCGCCGCCACGCCCGCGGCAGCCTGGAATCGAATCCGCTTTCATGCAGAAGACGCCCCCCGGCGGCCCCGGCAACCCGGCACTTATCCTGCGTTTCCACCCAGGGTCGGCGTCCGGGTCCGTTCGCAAACTTGTGGTTTCGCTTTTTAACCGAAGAATTTCCACATCCTCAGGAAAAAAAAAAAAAAAGTTGACTAGCGTTGAGGTAGACACGGAAATGAAATCCGAGCAGTATGTAGAAACAGCGAGTCAGGATGGCCGAGCGGTCTAAGGCGCTGCGTTCAGGTCGCAGTCTCCTCTGGAGGCGTGGGTTCGAATCCCACTCCTGACAGTTCCCTTTTCAAACTATTCATCGATTGTATGTGTATCACATTCTTCCATGTTCACCTCGTGAATTCATCCTTTTTTTTTTTAAAAAATAAATTATCCGAAATAAAAAAATTAAAATATTAAAAAAAAAGAATGAAAGCACTCTGTACCCAGAACACAATTTAAGATCTAGTCATTGTAATCTCATCTCCTTTCACTGTCTCTAGTTGTCTGTCCCTCTCTCTCTCCTTCACATTCAAGGAGTCGAATGAATGTTACTCCTCAATTATTTATCACTGATGTCCACAGGGCCCTTCATTTGTTTTATTTATTTATGGATTCCTTTTTAATTGCCTTTCAATTTCATTTTTCGTCTCCCACCCCCATAAGAAATCACTGGAAAGATCATCCTTTTCCTTCTTGCTATATGTTTTTGTAGAACATGTATTTTTGGTTTCGGTACATGCGTTTTTAATTTACATAAATGACACTGTGTCATATATCTCATTCTATTTTTACTTTGTCCCTTTCATACCACAGTTTTGTGTGTGTGTGTGTGCCAGTTTTTCAATCTGTGTTGCTGTGCGTACCTCTAGACCCCATCTAGAACTATTATTTTTAATTATTGCACAGAGGTCTGCAGTGTGTGTCCTCACCCAGGGATGACTCCCAGATTAGGTCCAACGCCCTCCCACCACAAATAAGGGTGCCATCAATGAACATCTTCCTATGTATTACATTATGAAGCTGTGTAAGATTTTCTGCAGGATTGACTTGCAGGTCATGAGGGTCTGACAGTTTACAAATTTTGCAGTTCAGAACAGCACCCAGGACCCAGGACCCAGGAAGGGAGATTTAGACACACACAAATTCATGTTTAGTGACATCTCCAGAAACATCCCTCAAATTCAATTTTCCTGACGTCTAGCCCGCTTATTTTGAGCATTAATACTACAGTTACAAATATTAACCTACAGTGTTTCTATTCTGAACTCAGAACTTGGATAGTGAATATTATTTTTACATAATTTATTGCAAAGCCCCCCAAAATCAAAAACCTCAGGCGACTGGAATTTTCTCCTCTCCATTCCTTTTTTAAAAAAGAAATCTAATCTAATAACAGGTTACAAAGGCAGAAAATAGGGTGAATCTCTTATGATTATTGATATTTAGAATTGTTCTGCCCTCTCTCTCCTCTAAATTCCTCAGAACTCACAGAAAGGTTCATACATACACTGAAAGAAAAGTGAATTGG